TGTTCCCTTTTAATGGCATAACATATAACATAACGAAACGTTACAGGATATAACGTGAAATAACATATTTTTGGTTAACATATACACACATCAAGAATATCTCATTCATATATACATTTATGGACAAGAAAGCATAGACGTTTTTCAGTTTTCCATTTCCAATTTAATTATGTCGCGAACATTTTCGATGTACGTGTTTAGGATAGCAAACATTTTTTGCTGATAAATATATATATATGTATATTGAGAATTCGCTCAATTTTAGTTGATAAAATGACATTAACTTTGGTTTAAAAAAAAAAAACAGAACTGATTCAACAGATTCAAGTTCCAAATATGAAAAAAATGATCACTCCGTGTGCGAGTATTGGTTAATTTAGCCAAAATCATATATTTTCATTGCGTACAATGACAATCAAAACATTTTCGAGGTGGTAGAGTCTCACGCGGTCTACTGTGTAAATGCAATTTTGAGCCATTACAAACAGTTCTCGTGTAGTTTAATAACACACCTGTCTCTTTCTAACTATCTCACATTGAAATTTAAAAACAAAAACGACTCTACAAATAAAGATGAAATTAGCAACAAAAATGTATAAACGTAAGCAAATTTTTAAGATTAGGAACGGAAATGAATCCGAATAATTCAATTGGATTTGTGGAAAACTGTAAAAACAATTTATGTGTACCAAAATGTTGCATGCATCAGACTATAGTTTAGAAGAAAAAGAAATGTATATTTTTATCACAATTCTTCCACCGAATCTCGAAAATGTACATTTGAGTAAATTTTTTTGTTTACCTATATATGGGGCCGGACCCGAAAACTTTTTCTACGTATAATTTTGAGATGCGGTGGAGATATTGTGACACAGACCTAGTCTAATATGCGATGATAGCCATTCTTCGATTCATCCACTGCCCGACGGATATCGATTTATACTCGAGCAATCAAAATAATTGATTACCAAAACACAAACGATTCACATACAAAATCGATCCAATCAAAAATATTAGCTGTACAATATCCACGAAAATACAACAAAATTATCTTGAAAATGATGAAAATTACTTTAGAAGCACAAACTACTATATATAGCTCATATAACTATTGACAATCCACAAAATCTCACTCGAAAAGATATTTTCATATCAGTATGTTGCATTTCAGTTCGGAAATTGATTTTGTCACATCAATCAAAATCGATAAAATTGCCACACTGAAATCAATCGAATAAAATCACGATTTAATTTTCATGTCATTTCCGAAATTGAAATTCAATTGCACATGAATATATTTTCCCTTCCAATGTAATTTATTAAGAAAAAAAATGCACTTTTACATTATGAATCATAGTTGTAAATTAATTGGAAACATTTGATGAAGAAGAATAAAAAAAAAGAAAACGAAAAAAAAAATTAACCATTTAAATGTGATTAGAAAAGACAATCCTACAAGAAATCAAAGTGAAAACTCTCACTCTCTTATAGAAACAAAATATGAAAACCAAACACAAAAAATGAATGTAGATTGTAGTGAATAGAAACGAGAATAGATCATAAATTACTATTATTACCATTAAATTGATCGTCTGTGTAAAGCGAGTAATGATAATTAATGCCCGATAGTAGCATCCACTTTACATGTTTTTTTTTTTGTGCTGTGTATTTTCGATAAATCAAAACATAAACTATATCAATGGAACTTTTTATCATCTTTAAAATCTATTTCTTAAATACTAAAACTTATATCACTTTGTAGAATTTGACTGCAGCGATAGAAATAATAAAAAAAGAAGAAGAACAAACACAAAAACGAAATGAATTGAAATTAAATCAGATTGTCTTATGATTCCCATTTAGAACTATAAAAAAAATAATACCATATGAATAAGTAAATCTCGTTTATTCACTGTTTCAAGTATGTGTGATGGACTAGATTCTATCACTTACAGTGGCATTGATAATGATAGCCCAATAACATTAAATCTCTTATTGCTGTACTTAATATGTTTGCTCCCCATGCAATGCAACCAAATGCAAGTCAACAACAGAAGAGATAACAAACAATAATCATATCCTTGCTATGGCATATATCAATGGAATAATATTGACATTTTATCGTTCTATAAACGGTGAAATGACACTTTACTCGATTCAGTACAAAGGATATATTAGTATAGTGATACATCTATTGAAATGACCAAAACGATTTCCGCTAGTTGTTAAGCACATTCATGAGTCAATTTTGAACCTGGACAAATATCATTTTCCATACAAATTTCTTTCTTTTTTTTGTTAATTTTTATTAAATAATGACATACATATACAAGCATAAAATAGTTTTGACAATTTCACCATTCCACATACAAACACAATCACACACACTCGTTATTATAGTGAACATTAAACAAAAATTCGGTTAAAATCAAATTGAAATGATCTATATTTTTGTAACAAGTAGCAAAAACTATATATTTTATCACTGTAAGATCATCAAACTCCAACAAATTGTAATTGCAGTTTTTCTTATGTCGGATTTAAATGTCTCGCATTTTCATTTCATATGGAACTTTTCTGACTTTTCAAATTCGAAAACATAAGACTTTGAAAAGATATTAAATAGAAATTGAAGAAAGTAGAACAGCATTTTGGGGATTATTTGAAGAAAAATCATAATAATGCAACAAAAATGGAAAATATAACACAGAAATATTCTCTTGATGCAATAATTATAATACCGACCCTACCAAAATTGTAGCTCAACAAAAGCTAACGATTTAAAGAGATACACGCAACTGGAATCGAACACAATGAACGGACAAAATGAAAGTAAGCAAGCAAATTTCAAGTTGTGCAGCACACACACACACACACACACACACACACACACACACACACACAACTGAAAGGTATTATTTAAAGACGACAATATCATTTGCATTAATCAAATATTTTGTATTGTAACATAGACGAATGGTAATAGAAAATAATTCCTATTCTTCAAACAGAACGAAGATGTATATCTGAGAAGAAGAAAAAAACATGAAATGAATTCATTTTCTTTTGTTTCGTCGTGAAATATACTATGTTAGCTGAATTATAACAAAAAAAATCACTAAAACTCATACTTGGTCCTTATGATAGTTGTTAGAGTCATTATCGATCTTCATATTCGCACCTATTTATACAATGGAATAGCGCATTTACTTACATCCACAACTTCGAATGCACCGTATAGAATGTACGACAAATACTTGTCATGCACCATATCCAATATGTGGCAATTTGAGTAGCGCGAACTTTCTGGTAAACTGATAGTTTTTTTCATTCTTCTGTCGATGAATTGCTCCTTACGTTGCATTTCAAATAGTTCTTTTAGTTTTGGTGTGCAAAAAAAAAGTTGTGAAAGACTTTTCCTTTTAACTTTTGATTGAAAGAGATATATTTTTACAAAGTTTAAAGGAATGATGATAAAATCCAAGTGTCCCATTTCTATAGTTACTTTAAAAACTCTTCGTTTCAACAGTGTTTATATTCGTTTTTTTCTTCTCCACATAACCATTTTATTGAATACAAACAAAAAAGATGGGAGCCAAAAACTTTTTTGTCTAAATTAAGATTATGGTCATTTTATTGTAAAAATCTATAATATAACATTCCAAATTTGTAGAGAGTCGAAAATGTAAAACAAAGAATTTTCATTTATGAACGTCTACTTACACTTTGAAAGCTCTATGTTTTTTTTCGAACAACTATTTCATTGTAATCTTTTTAGGAATAAAAACAATGAATTTAATTCGCACTAAATCTCATGCATTTTAAAAAAAATGACAATTCAAAGTGTTTAACCTTCGTCACTTCTAACATTCGTGTACTAAATATACTGTAAATTAAAATAAATATCTTATGACTAAAAAAACATTGCGTTTAATGCGATTTATTCAGAAGTTGGTTTTTGGATTTGCAGCTAAGAGTGTTTCAGGGGGTTTATATTTTGTTGAACGATTCACTCGAGATTTTACCTGAAATTACTTGAACAATGGAATTGTATCAATGAGTTCGACACTCGTCATCACTTGAAGAAGACAACATTGTAACGAAGCGGATGCCAAATGCATTCATAAATGTCCACCGATGCGAATTTGTCAGGAGAGGGTAATTTATTATAGTCTAGAATTAGTAATGTTATAAAATACTTTTTACGTTGCAACAGGTATCATATGGCGCCATCTATTGAAAACCACGATATTCTAATACCACGAAAGAAACCGCTCGTGCATAAATGAAAATAAATGGGATAGAAATATTTAGCATAAAATAATTTCAAAATATTTTATGCAATGCAAGTAAGTTTGATAGAATCTTACACAAAACACATGTTTTTAATGAATATAATTTGTTTATTCAATAGCATTTGTATTCAAAATGGATGTTGGAATCATAATTTGAAAATATTTGAAAATTCATCCAATTGAAATCCACTGGAAATATTGATTGTCTTTCATCTTCATTGCTTAAACTTGAGCAACAAAGATGAGTTTTTTTATAAATCCAATTTCTTTTTTTTTCTTCTTCTTTTAATCCTTTTCAAGTATGAAGAAGTAATTCTACACTAATGGTATACTTCATTTTTTAAAACGAAAATACATTTCTGATATTTGCTTTTTACAAGGTTATTTAAATAATTTATTATTTATGTTTAAGATGAACAAAAGAGTCGATAATGTTCGACAAAGTGAAGCTGTCTAATAAATCAGGTGTTGATATAGTTCTATCTAACTGAGTATCAATCTCAAATTATTGCTCAAAATCACTTGATATCAATCATATTGTTGTTGTTTTTCTTTTAACTTACAAGTTCTCTTTTCTTTTTCTTTTCCCCAAAGGGCGAAGGGCTGTGATTGTGTGAGAATGTATTATATGTGTTACATTTTGGAAGTATTTTATCAAATAAAATTGCCACAAAAAATTTGTAATTGCGTTTATAAACAAAAATATCTTGTGTATTAGAGAATTGAACAAATTTTGCAACTGTATAGTATGCTCAGTTGTTTGCTTCTTTTTTATTGAAACCAATTATAAGACTAATTGAAATGGGCCTGTATGGAACAGTTTATGAAAAAGCAGCATTCTTATTAGTTGAATACGGAAATACTACTAGTTGAATAAATTATCAATATTGAACAACTGTTGTATTTGGTGAATTTTAGTGGTCATTCTACTGCGGTGGAACGTATTTCTCAATGAAATCCTAAAATTTAAAATGGCATCATGATTATTTTGGATATATTTCATCATATTGCTATATAGTATATACATACCTTAACGTCATCCATTTCTTGTTGTGATGACGAATGCATCAATCGTGGATAAGATGAAAATTGAGCACTTTTCATAAATGTTTTTAAACTATAGTGTGACAATTGACCAAACTTATAAGGTACAACTGGATCCAATTCGCCTGAAAGAATAATTTTTTTAAATTAAATTTAATAATTTTTTTTTGAAGACAGAATCAATTTTTCTGTTAAAAATGACTGACACTTACCGTGACATTGAAAGATTGGCACAGTATCGGAAGTTTTCCTTGCATCTGGAAAACTCTTATGTAGTGGTAGCCAACAGGATAATGCAACTATACCTCCCAGCACTTGTGATGATGTTAGTCCTGAATGGTATGGATTAGTCAACATATGTAAATCATTATGAAGATAAGAAATGATATAGACCTGTGTGTAATGCAAGTGCGCCTCCTTGTGAGAAACCGCCAACAATGATTCGATTGGCTGGTATTCCGGCTGAAATCTCTGATTGTACCAGTGATTGCACATTTGCAGTTGCTCTTTTGATGCCCTCTTCATCTTCTGGTCCATACATGTCAAGTGTTTTCTATAAATTATTTCACAAATTCAATTTATATAATCCTTCTACACAGGCTAAAGTGATAAAAAAAACCGAAAACGATATAGGTATTCTATTTAAATTTTGTTTGCCTTTATAAGTCGCGACTAATTAAAATTCAAATCGAAATTGAGTTATTTTTAAACGACTTGTCCAATCGAATTACATTGAAATGGGTTCATTTATAGCTGTACCAGACAAATTCACCAGAAATAAATATATTTATAAAAATAAAAACCAGGTGTTGACCTAGCACTGCATTGAACTCTACCGTTGTTATTTGAGTAAACAAAACAAAGTTCGTTCAAATCAAAATAAATGACTATGTAATCAAGAATTTAGGGATTAATGTATTTGATTCATTGGCATATTAATTTTATGCAAAAAAAAAATAACGAAAACACCTACCAAATCAAACCATGATGGCATTTCGAAGCCTGCATTGAGCGTCACCGGCATGGTTGGTGCAGTTGGACAGATCACTTTCATATACGATGGACGTATTTGAGCCATTGCTTGTGCCCAGCCATGACTGTTGACAAATTAGAAAAATAAAATAAACAGAATTTGAATTAATTGATTCGTTTCTTTCATCTTCAATCATACACCATCATCATGGGCACAATGCAAAGAAAAATCAAATCTAATTCATGTTGAAAAATTGAGGAAAAATTGCTTTGAAACGTCCATATTGCGATTGGATTTCGTTAACCTTGAACTTATTGCAATGCACTGAAAATATACTATATTTAGTAAACAGCTGTATGCGAATGTGTGCCAGTCTACACCACACTTACCCTGTATCGCCCAAGCCATGTAAAAAGATAATCTGAAATAAATCACAAAAAAAGAGCATGCCGCAATTACCAATAAGATTGCAATTGAATTAACGTTAAACATATAAAATTGACGTGAATTTGATTTCAATCACAATTTGAACTAATGTTTATATTGATTTTTCCATCGCTGAAAATCATAATCGTATAGTGAGGTTTCGCGATTATAAAAAGGAAAACATCAAAATTAAATAAGTTTCATGAATGAAAAAAAATATATGGAAGAATACTGTTTTGTAATTAGGAAAATCATTGCGAGGACAATGATCGGACAAAAAAGCAATTAGGTCTGAGCTATTTAATCACTTTATCACATTCAATCTACTACATTAAATTGAAATAAAAATACACGATTGATTCAGATGGAAAGCATGTTCAATGATATTTTGTGTCGTTTTTTTTTTCTTTTGCACTTACCGAAGCTGTATGTTTTGATGTTGCTTGAAGAATTACTGGACTAACAGCCATTTCAGTATTTCTTGTTTGTTTTTGCACACAATTTCCAATTTTGATTAAAACAAAACGAATATAGAATGTTTATTAAATAAACGATGAATGAATTGAGTGGTAGAATGAACCAAATGGCAATGAACACTTTTACCGAATGTAAGAGCACGAAAAATTTGTTTTTGTTGCTCAGCTTCTAACTAATATATATACTTCAAATACGTTTTTTTTTTCTCTATCTTCTCTTCGTTTGCCGTTTTTCATGCACGTCATATGTCACTGTTGTACAACGTTGATTCTTTGCGCTGCATGTATTGGCTAGTGTATTGGTAATTCAATTGCGTTATATGTGTATGTGTGTCTACACGCTTGCTGATCTACCAAAAACCAACCGAAATATTATGAGAACAAGTTGAAGTAGTACAAAATCACTGCTCTATTTGATTAATGAATTTTTATTTGAAATAATTAAAAAGCATCAGCTGGGGCCATGAGAGAATTTATTTTTCTTTTGAGAGTTGTGAGAGTTGAGAGTTTTGCAACTGAAATGCACTTCAATGCACTTTGTATCTATGCATTTATGCATATAACTAATAGAAAAGCGAATGCATAATTCATAATCCTTATGAATTCATGATGTTCATTTTAAAATGATTGTTTCCAACATTGATTTTGACTTATAAAAATAAATTTTTATTCAAAATTAGCAACATGTAATAAAATATGAGCAATTCTTTTTTCACTACAGTTCATGACAAATTGATAGCGACCTCTATTTACATACGATGAATTATTCGATTATCTTATTTGACAGTCGACACAAAACACATGTTTTCACCGAACACATTCATGTTATGAACACACAAATACAATAATATAAAATCGCACATTGAAATTGCCAATTTACCGACACACTGATTTCATGGCACGACCGACTGAAAACATAAACAATTGACAGTTTTCACATTGTACCGTCAGTTGTTAGTACAAAAACACTTACATTAACCTTAGAAAATAATAAACGAATGAACAATACACACAACGAACATAAATTTAGCGATAAAATTTGGTATGTTTGAAATTTGATGAAAAAGTCGAAAATTAAGCCGTAAAAATGGATGAAACATTCATGTTTGTTCACATAACACACGAAGTGAATTTTACCATTTTTGATACCAAATGGTTACCGCAAACGGCAAAATTTGCGGCAATTGGCGCCAAAACGAATGGAACCGGTGGTTTAATCAAAGTATTCGAATTGAATGGAAAACAACTTGATATTACGCGTGAAATAAGCCGACAAAATGCATTCAAATGTTCGGCGTTCGGTTTGTCACGAACGAAAAATTATTATTTGGCTGTTGGCGATTTTGGCGGTTCACTACAAATTATGTAAATTTCAAATAAATTTCGGTGTATGGTGGTAACAAAATAATAAATGTTCGGTTCTTTTGTTGATTAATAGAGATTTGGATCGATTTGATGTCTTCAATATTGATAACGCTCACAAGGGTGTCATCAATGCCATTGATGCGGCTGGATCTCAGAAAAATCGAGGCGCAACCGAAATAGTAACGGGTGGACAGGATGGTCATGTCAAAGTTTGGGATCCAAGATGCAATTATGCGGTCGTACAACTGATGCCAAAACAAGGTACCAAACGTCCTGATTGTTGGTCAGTGGCATTTGGTGACTCATACAATAGATTCGAGCGATGTGTGTTTGCTGGCTTTGATAACGGTGATATCAAATTGTTTGATTTGCGTACGTTAAAAGAGCGATGGGATGTGAATGTAGGGAATGGAGTTTGTGGCCTTGAAATGGACAATAAATACGAACCATTACGCAAATTGGTGGCTTGCACAACATTTGGCGGGATACATGCTTATTATTTTGATGAATGTGATGCGCCTGTACCAATGTATGCGTTTGCAAAGGATACGATTAGCTGTGAAACAAACGCAATCAGTGATAATATTAGGGGAAAAACTAATCCAACCATTTGGTGTGTCCGTCATCTACCTCAAAATCGTAAGTAAAACGAAAAATGCCTGCCAATTCTTATTTGAATATAATTTTATTTTTTACATTTTTCCAATGACAGGTGACATTTTTGCAACTTGTAGTAGTAGCGGAATGTTGAAAGTTTGGCAAAGGTAATACCACATTTTCTTTAATTCCAAACGCCCATAATTTTGACGAATTTTTTTTTTCAGCCCAAAAGAAAGTTGTAATTTCGAAACCAATTCGTTGAAGGTCATGTGCAAACTATCGCTCGGTAATAAACTAATCAATTGTTTTGATTGGAGCCCGGATCGAACTGGATTGGGTGTTTGCAGTTCATTTGATAAAAAGATACGAGTTATTGCCTCAGTTAATATGCCATTAGGTCAATAAATCAATAGAAAATAAATTGATATATTATTTCTATTTTTTTTACATTAATTTAATATGTTGTTGATGAAATGATTTTATCACTGTTATATGGAATCATATTGAATGCCAAATTGAAAAGAAAAATTCTTAAAAAAAAATATTTTTACTGATTAAAAAAAAAGATTTATTTTATTTTCGTCGACATTTTATTCAGAATGTAACGTTTATTAGAAAAATAGAAAAAAATGAATATTCCAGATAAATTTATGGGTAGCATTTAATGTCCGTTCATAACAAGTGCTCATAAAAGTCAGTTGTAACTAAACAATTGCTACAAAGTTTGAAATCCGTTACCATGACAACGGTTTGTATGTAAACGAATTTAAGCTTCAATTTGCGATAGTAAGTAATGATATATCTTCCTGAACAAAATAGTAGTGTGTATTTGCTGGTATCATCCTGAAAAATTAGAAAAAATAATAAAACATCATCAATTTTCATACGTTTCCATACAAAATATATGTGAGTACCCGGGTTGCAAGTACGATATTTTTTTTTAGGTAGACAGAAGGGAAGACATTATTTATTTTTAGTAAAAAACTCGGTAAAATGGATACTTTTTTCAATTAAATTTGAACGAAAATGAAGTAAATCATTTTAATTTATTTTATCAATTCAACGGTATGCATCAACATTCTTAAGTTTTCCAATCAACGAATAAATTTATAAAATTTGTATTGATTCAACGATAGTTCAATTCTATTTTCATCGAAATGTTGGGTTGAAAAGTGTTTACTGTGACAGAATAAATGAAAGAATGTTGAGAAAAGTACATTGAATGCGTATGACAGATGCCATCTTGTTCAATTTTTTTTTCCGTAATATATTTAATTTGTATGTGGTCTTTTTTGGTCTTGTTTTTTTCGTACGAACTTTTATTCACATTTATCGATCGATTTTGAGATCAATGACAAAAAGCCATGCTAAAAACATTACAAAATGTTCGAATAATAGACAGCAATTTTATAGACGAATTCTAAAAATAATAACCAAGCAGCGCAGATAGAAAAAAAGGCACACAATTTTCAAAGTTGTAATATCAAACACAATTTTTTTGTTTCAATTTTAATTTTAGCATACTAGTTTCTTCCGATACTTCTATATTTTTTTACATATGGGAGGGTTACTGTAATATATATATTATTCGGGTAATCTTATACAGGAATTACATTTTGGAAGTTCTGGAAACCAGGCCAAATCCCGAAAGTCCACCAATCAGCCAAATTCCACCGGATTTGGATTTTAGGCCAAAAAGTAGATTTCCCATCGAAAAAGCGAGAAAACTTAATTGGTAGTTTTTCCATTTACATTTCAATATCAGCAAAATTCTAGGGGGGAGACACAAAGAATAGATTCCGAACTAGGGGGAAAGAACAAGCCAAAAAGCTAAAAAAATACGATTCAATACACAAAATAAATGTCAATACGTGTAAATACGTGTAAATACTTGTCAATACTGGAAATGAATGTAAATTCCGGTAAATACGCGTAAATAAAAATTTCGTCAATCGCTAATGTCAAACTGTCTTATCGACTGAATTATTCATACAAAAAACTCTAAAAAGTATACTTTTTGTAAATAAAAAATAAAAATAAAAATTTTTTTTAATGTTTTTTAGCGGAAATTAATTTTCTTTTTAATTTTGCTGGGATTTGTGCGGTGATTATTCGCTGATTATTAAATCAGAAATAAATATGCGTAACATAACCTCACTTTTAATTACGTAATTAAAATTTACGTAATAAAGTATTA